TTTGGACAGTGGCACAACAAGTCTTCATAACTAAATGACAAAAGGGTAGTTTCTCAACTATTTGCTTTGTAAAGATATAGTGGAATCATGGTGTAACTCCAACCTAGCACTCCCTTTGCCTGTGTTGCTATCACAGGCTCTCTGTGTGCAACTGAGTACAGCGACTGAAACTGCTGCTTTTTCCTCACCTCATCTTTCGTATACATAACCTAACCTAAATTTAAAGGTTAAGCTCTGGTTCAGTTAAGGTAACTAAAATGATTTGGCTGAGGTTAGGGAAATGTTGGATAAAAGAACACAACGTGAACTTGTGGTTGGAAAAATATCACAAACTGTGGCCTACAATGTCAAAGTCACAAACTATGTATGCCCAACCATGACCTTTTGCTACTTCCACCTTTGCTAATTAGAGAGGACAGTCATTACTCACATGACTGCAAGAGGTCACTTGACAGTAAAATGTAAACACTGGTTGTTTTAAGTGTATACTATCAGCACACTGGATTTGAATTAAAACCACCACTGTAGGTTAGGACTTTTAAGATTTAATTTGAGGGTCTTTACATCAATTTTGAGAGAAAAGTGTAGGAATTAATTACAGTTCCCTCCTTGTCCTCTTGCAGTAAAACAGAATGAGGACTGTGTATGTGAAGTGCTTTTATTCCTATGATAATGTATACTATATTGAAACAACCCAATCACAGTTAAATAATTAACATCAGTGCATTATCTGTATGTCCTGTATCTGTATAGCCCAAAACATTCTACTGCAGGAGAAATAATTTGACAAAATTACACCGAAGCATGTCTGCAGTGTATAGTGAGCGGTGAAGAGAGAGGTAGATGAAGAACCGCCGAAGGAGACAGAGAGAGAAGGCCATAGGCAAACAGAAAAAATCTGCAAAGGCGAGGAGAAAAATAGGGCAAAAAAAAAATACAAGGAGGCATCCGTCATATTAAACTTCTCCAAAAACCACCAGAAACAGTAACTTCCCACCCTGTCTACACACACACACATGCTCTAGAGCCAGACAGCGAGTGGAACATCTGACTAAGCCAATGCTGAGCTGTTATTATAGTATATGGCAGAGAGGGAGAGAGAAATAGACGGAGACAGAAAAAGCGAGAGAGAGAGAGATATGCGTGAAAATTGTGACAGTGTGGGAGCAAAGAGGGAGGATTGCAAAAGGAGAATCGTGGGTGTGTGTGCGTCTAGAAAGGGGTAATTCAGCGATGGACGGCAGAGAATGGAAAGAGAGACAATAGAGCGAGCGGTATATATAAATTGGGGAAGACTGATAGACAAAAAAACAGGGCGAGGCAAGACAGAAAGATATGAAGATGTTTATGGGCAAAGGGAGAGGTAAAGAGAAAAACAACCAAATATTAACCATATTTAACCAGACACTGTATTAATACAACTCCTCCTCTTCCATAGCCTAACCACAGCCAGAAAAACATCAACTGGAAGACAAAGGTGATCCATGCAGTCAGACTGTGCCTAGACCTTTCTCACAGCAGCCATTCTGACATGAAATAGTAGGGTAAACACAGGGGTTACCAATGATACCATTTAAGGGTCTGTTCCATTTAGTGTAGCAGAGCATTTGCAGTGAGCCAATATGCTGTGAAAAAGGTCTACACCCCACACACAGCTAAAACAACTAGTAGAACAATGGCTCAGCATCAGGGAGAAGAAAACTCTACATTTTGTCAAAAAGAAGCCTATTAAGTATGATTGTTAAAAAATAATAATACACAGAATTTAGAATGAGCACACAGAATTTTATAAAAAAGCTTACACAAACTTCCTGCAGTTATTGCGTTCACTATTTGGGTCAATTATACAGTTTATGTGTTGTTCTGTACTGTTAGTGTTGTGTATTGAATATAACAAAATATCCATAAAATATGTCACTTGGTCAGGGGTTGTTGTCAATGATAAAAAGGGTTGAGTGCCCTACACCACAGCTTATCATGATTTGGCAGGCCAATTCTAAATGATCACATCATGGAAATGATATGGCTTTTTTCACCATTTCTTCATAAGTTTAACAATTTCAGCACAACTAGCTTTGGTTAGTGTATGTGTACATTCATCGGGGAGCTGTTGTGTAAGTTGATCTTCCATCTTTTATAACAATGTAAAACAAATGCCTTTGTTCCAGTAACAGGTTTCTCCCAGAATATCATTTAAGTGAAGCCCTGTTAACTCCCCGTGCTCTCTCACATGTGCACTGGTTTATTCCTCACACACCACCAGCTGATAGTGACCAACTCACTGAACATGAACTGGAAACTCAGGTTTCCTGCTTTTTGCTGCTCTGATTACTAAGTAGCAAAGTGTGTAGGTCTGTTCAATGACTGTCACCTCCTGAATCTGACAGATTCTGATTTCTTAGAAGCCTTTAATAAATGTACTAAATGACTTTATAAGTAGAAGCCTCATTTATGTCATAAATGGCCTTTGATATATGTAATGGTGTGTCTCCTCTTCTCCCACAGGGTAAAGGTTGAATTTTCATTAAAACATTGAGACTGTAATAGCAAGCACTAACAAAATCCTCCTTCAGTTTTGCTGATTCAATAAGCACCATATCTTGACTTGTCTTTACTCCAGAATACACAAGAATTTCCCATACTTTATGATAATAAGTCCCCAGAGGGCTGGCAGAGCCATGGGAGCGCAACTAAAGGGAGCACCACTGCCCTCCACATACAAGATAACAAGTACTGCCACGCTTCCACTACTCTGCTGGGAAAACAAAATACAGTAGTCTCTCAAGCCAGGCAAGTCTCCAATGCCACCACCACAGTTATCCACTACAAACAGGTACTTAACAAAAGATAAACAGATGTAGGCAAAGTAAATTAGTCCTACACAAAAGGGGACAGAAAGGGAGATTGGCAATTTACCATTTGATTTTTTTTTTTTTTTACAACTCACAGCACTGTCATTCTTATTATGCTGTCACATAATAAAAAGCTCTCAAACTCAATGTAAAGCCTAATTATGAACAGTCCTAAATGAAAGACTGAGTAAAAAACTGCATCCAAGAAATACATAGACAGTGCAGGTCACACTTAAAGCTGTGCTCTGCTCTGTCAGCACATGAAATATGAAACGTATCAAAACAAAATGTTGGAACTGTGTTGTTTTTTCTTTGATGTTTTCAGGAAAAACAGAAGACGAGGATCCAAAAATAGCTAGCTAGAGTTTTCTAAATCCTAAAAAACAATAAACTGGAGCAGAACAACAACACACCCACAGTGAAAAAAGGCTGGAAAAATTCATTATGATGTTTTCATTGGACAGGAAGAGGTGGGGAGACACAGACAAGCAATATAAACCCACATACACTGAGTAACAGTGCAGGAGACCTGAGTGTGCATGGTATTCATTTTGTATATGTATGCATGTACTGTGCACACACACAGTGTGAAAGACAGAAAATGAGAAAGAAAAGAGACAGTGAACGAGTGAGAAAGAGTGTTTGTATGTGTGTGCGCGCGCAAGCCTGTGTGCATGGTTCTGACATTTAGAGGCAGGGTAGTGTGTAGGCGTGGGGTTGCACAGTGAAAAGGCCACACTGTGTAACACTACAGTGGGAGGCCATGACTGACATCTGTTTGGGGTAGTGTGTGTGTGGATGTCTCTGTGTGTGTGGATGTCTCTGTGTGTGTGTGTGTGTGTGTGTGTGTAGGTGTGTGTGAATGTGACTCTGTGAGTGTATGTGTATAATTTCATTTTGCTGTCTCAGCCTCTTGTTAAGGAGCCATTTAGAGCTCAGGTTGAGTTTCTTCAGCGCCTCCTGACACTTCTTTCCCCCTCACTGCCTCTCTGGGTTCCACCATCTTTTCTCCATCTCTGTCTCATTATCTCTGTCTCTTCCTCTGTCTGTCTTCTCTCCTCCTCTATATTCTCGCTGCTTCTCCTCTCCTGTATTTGGTTACTGCACTACAGTTTTTTACCTGTTAATCACTGTGTTGCTTTATTGGTAAAACTGTTTAAGTTG